AGGAAAAACTAAGAGGGATAATAGAGAGGGGGTGTAATAATACATTTTATTTTTAAAATTGATGTTGGGGGAAGTATTGAAGGGATTTAATTTTTTAAAAAATAGTAATGGGGGGAGGAGCAGGAAAACTACTTATACCCTAAATAACTAAACAGACACCCTAAAGAAACACATTCCCCCAGACACAGAGTGCTCCCCCCAAAGATCACCCACCCTGCCTGAACACAAGCCTCTGAGAAGAATTATTATTTTAACTAAAATGTGACCTTCCTTTAAAAAAAGCCCTCTCTCATGTCCCACAAATGAAAATTATAATGAAGAATAAGTTTATTTTAAATTGAATGTATTTTCTCAGCACATAGGCTGGAGAAGCACACACAAAGAGAGATATCAGCAAGCAGAACCAGTACCACACAGACACTCAAGCATTCAGTTAGGAAATAAATTTTGGGGAAAGGGAACAAATCCACACACACAAATCCACCCCCTCCAAAAGATCACCCAACCTGCCTGAATACAACCCTCCAAAAAGAACTAGCCTAACTGAAATACCCACATAGCTAAAGAAATCTCACCCAAAATCCCCAGTAAAGTTCAAATAATATTAATGGAAGAAATACGAAATGAATTAAATGAGGAAAATAAATGTTTGCTTTGCTGTCACAAAAGTGAAAGCACAACCACAGCCAGCGACAACTGCTCTCAGCCAAGAGACTCAGAGCAGAAGTGGGAAATGGCTCCAGGGAAAAGGCTTATATAAAGCCTCTGAAAAAGGTACACCCCCACAACCCTTTCAGCAGCACTGTTGACTCTCTGACATGGCAATCCAGGATTTCCCATCTTGGCACAAAGAGGCTGCAGAGATGACACAGAGGCCTAAAAAAGGGTTGACAGATTGACGAATACAGTATAGTCAAATTGATGAGTTGACAAATAAAACCAGGTAAATATTCATTGTTTCATAGTCATCAGAGTCTCTAGGAATTGATGAATATGGAGCAATAAATATGTGATATTCATTAAAAAATTGTGATTTGTTTCTACATACGGCCCATCTCTACTCCTGATGGCTTTTTTGGCTCTTTCAAAACCCCTTATCATGTTAATGTGTGTATCCAGGGGGGTATATCTTTAATATATATGTATAGAGTGGTCCTGAGTTGGCTAGATAGGCGGGATATCAATTAAATAAATAAATAAATAAATAAATAAATAAATAAATAAACAAACAAACAAACAAACAAACAAACAAACAAACAAACCCTGTGCTATCTCAATCATAAAAACAGGGTGAGACTTTTTAAGCTATGTCTTGTGTGAGATGACAGGTGGAGGCTATAGTATATGTCCTTAGTTCAGTGACATTGTCATTATCCCCTCCCCAATTTGTTCTTTTCTGGTTACTGGACAATTTAAATCCAGAGACAAATTTTGGAACTCCTGGTAAAGATTTTCCAACTTGTTTTTGAATTATTTGATTAATTTACACAATCCTCAAAAGAATCCAAAAGTTTCAAAATGACTCAGAATAACTGTGTCGCCCTTTATGGTGTTATCATCAGGGGAGACCTTTCTCCTGGTCCCACCACTCTCACAGGTGGGGGTCTGGTGGGGATATAGGAGAGGGCCTCCTCTGTTGTAGTTCCCAGATTCTCGAATCTCCTTCCACTGGAGGCCAGGCTGGCCTCAGCTTTGCTGTCCTTTCACATGGTCCTTTTGAGTTCTTATGAGAATCTGGGGTTCTTTTGAGACTTGGGCTACTAGCATCAGAAAGAAGGTATGAGGAGAATACCATGGCGGTTTCCTCAGGGCTCTATACTGTCCCCCATGCTGTTCAATATCTACATGAAACCGCTGGGGGAGGTTGTTAGGAGGTTTGGGCTGAGGAGTCAGCAATATGCGGACAGCACCCAGTTCTATGTCTCATTCTCTACCAATCTAGGTGTGGCAGTCACTGCTCTGAACTCGTGCCTGGACTCGATAAGGGACTGGATGAGGCTCAATAAACTGAGGCTCAATCCAGACAAGTTGGAAGTGCTGCTGGAAGGTGCTCCACCAGATAGGTTAAAGGGCCATTTCCCTGCCTTAAATGGGGTTACACTCCCCCTAAAGGACAGGGTCTGCAGCTTGGGCATGCTCCTTGACTGGGGTCTGACCAGGTGGACTCTGTGTCCATGGGAGCCTTCTTACAGCTGTGGAGAATATATCAACTTTGCCCTTACCTGGATGAGCAGAGCCTGGCAACAGTCACACATGCACTGGTAGCAACCAGACTGCACTACTGCAATGTGCTATACGTGGGGCAGCTTTTGAAGACGATCCGGTGACTGCAACTGGCACAGAACTGGGCTGTGCGGCTGATAAGTGGTGCCACTGCGCAGACTCATATGCCAGTTCTGAAAAATTTACACTGACTGCCGGTTGCTGCTCGGGCCCAATTCAAAGTGCTTACTTTGACATATAAAGCCCTAAACGGCTTAGGACTTGGTTACCTAAAGGACTGCCTTCTTCCATACAAGCCTGTCCGTCCTCTAAGATCAGGCCAGGAAGCCCTTCTGAAGGTGCCATCTCTGAAAGAGGTGAGGGGGATGGCATGCCGAAATAGGACCTTCTCGGCTCTTGCCCCCCAACTTTGGAACATCCTCCCTATAGAGATCCGCCTGGCTCCGACACTTTTGGCTTTTTGGTGTCAGGCAAAGACCTTTCTGTTTAGCCAGTATTTTAATTAAATAGTATCCTTCAGTTGCCCATATGAGCCGCAGGATTTATTTATATTAATGTTTTAATGACTGTTTTAAATATAGGGTATTATTATAATATTGCCTATTTTTAATGGTTTTAAAGTTTTAACATTGTCGTACACCACCCAGCAACCATTGATAATGGTGCAGCTAAAAAAAATGTAAATAAATAAATAAATAAATTACTTTTTGGAGTACAATACTGAGGGCTGTGATGCTTGCAGGTATGGAGCACTAAACCTTCACAGTGTACAAAGATATTGGGAATGGTTGTTGTGGGTTTTTTGGGCTCTTTGGCTGTGTTCTGAAGGTTGTTCTTCCTGATGTTTCGCTAGTCTCTGTGGCCGGCATCTTCAGAGGAAAGGAGTAGGAATTCTGTCCATGTTCCTACTCCTGTCCTCTGAAAATGTTGGCCACAGAGACTGGCGAAACATCAGGAAGAAAAACCTTCAGAAAACGGACAGAGAGCCCAAAAAACCCACAACAACCATCAGATCCTGGCCATGAAAGCCTTCGAGAATACATATTGGGAATGTTTTGACTTAGAAGAAGATATGTAATCTCTCTGTGAGTAGGGGCACTGAGGGAGGGTCTGCTTCTATGTCCTACTGGTTTTCCTATCCAGGAATGGATAACACATGGATATCCAGAGGGACAAATTACAATCTTATTATGTTTGTACATCTGCAAAGTTGACAGGAAGTTTCATCAGTTCACAACCTATCTCTGCCATCTTTGTGACACCAGAGTTTTTACAGTTGCTGTCTATTTTTTGGCCAGATACATGCCTAAAACTATTTACATATTTAAATCTTTATAGTTTTTTTGTATATACATATATGCAGAAATGAATGAAAAGTGTTTCAAAACCACAATTAAACTTTATTTAGAAATTCTTTTGTATAGATTTCCTAACAACAAAAACACAATAAAAATACAATTCCCACCCCTGCCAACATTTTTAAAACTATAAAACACACAACATTAGAGGACTGCCAAAATATTGTACGTGTTTCATTTTTTTAAACAAACCTTAGTTGTTGGTCCCAGCAGTGCATCTGTATTAAGAAATGTTGCATTCTTCTGGATTTGATTGGACTGCTTCTGTTTCAGAACTGATTATTCCTTTTATATAAGGCTTTCCATCTAAAGTTATGCTCTATTATGGAAATGGTAAAAGCAAGTACATAACTGTTGCAGTGATTTCCCCCATTATTTTCTAATCTACATTGCCTGAAACAGGCATGATACCAGAATCCAAAGAAATGGTAATTTGTTCAGACAATTAACATCTGTGGTGGGTAGATACAACATAATGTTGAAAGTATAGAATATATCCCAGACACTTTTAGCATTCAGTCCACAAACAGTTTAGCACCATATTGATAAAGTCATGCAGCAAAACTCGTTCTTCAAGGTTTGCTTGGAACGTAAAGCAGAAATAGCACAGTGCAAGGTAGTTTATACCCTTAGCTTCTATAAGGGGTACGTTGGCAATGGCTGACCCCTTGTTCTGAGAGAGGTATGTGTTGATCTTTCGGTGTGGCTTAAGTTCCTATTGTAGTCCCAATGCTAGCCGTGATAGGAGCTGTAAAAGGAACAATATTTTATTAGAACTTCATTGAAACATTCAAGAGAAAATTGGAGAACCATCTGTCAGATCTGCTTTGATTTGGATTCTGGCACTGAGCAGGGGATTGGACTCACTAGCCTTACAGGCCCCTTCCAACTCAATTATTCTCTGATTCTATGAATCACGTAACAGAAAGACAAAGGCTAGATGAGAATAATGCCTTATAAGACAAAATGAGGGCACATCAGTCCTCAATAAGAAAGGATTATTGAGATGATGGCCATTGGTTCCAGTCATAGGTACACTATTTCTCAACGCTCCCCCTTTGAATAGCCATAGTTCCATGTCTCATTCTTCACCTCGGAGTGGGCAGAAGATAGAAACTCAGCAGCCCCTTCTACATGATGGGATTTGGAAATTCTAGCAAACAAATATGGCTTAAAATATAGTAGTGATGTCTCAGTCTAGTCTATCAATGACTGGTGATTTCAACTGTACGGTGTCAGTCTGATTGGGCACAAATGACTGGCCACAGTACAGCAGTTGGTTTTTAATCTTGTCTCGTTTGCAACATGGACTTCCTGCTTTGGAGAGGGGTTGGATTAGTTGATCGTTGGGGTCTCCTTCCAGCTCTACAATTTTGTGATTATGTTCTTATGATACTTTCTCATGATTTTCCTTTATAGGTTCTCATCGGATTACTCTGCTCATGAACCCAGAAGAATTTTACATTAGATTTTACATTTGGAAATGAGATTTTTCATAAGATCCACTTGCATCAATCAGCCTTCCAGAACCTGAACCTTCCCAAAGGTGATGAACTAGAATTCTACAACTATGCTGAGAGATGTAATTTAAGCTATCTGGAACATATATAGATGTTACATATCCGCAGAATTCCAGGTAGGGGAATGCTTGTATAAATCATTATTGCAACAGTACCATGTCATGGTGACAATTTAGAACATTTTTCATATGTTCTTCTTGTCTCAACAATTCAATGTATAACTGCATTTCATTAATTACTCTTTCACATAAAGGTTTGCAACAAAAGAATAGCCCCCACCTTACCTGAAAGGCAGAGATTCTCACATTCTTTTTGTGTGTTAAATCTGTTTCCATTTCCGCCACAACCACCATACCAGAATCGAGCACAACTTTTAGTATTTGCATCAAAATGCCATTTTAGCATGAAATTCCGACACGTTCCTACTTCTTTTGCTAAGTAACAGACTTCTGTGGCTGAAAATCAACAGATAAATAATGAATACATTTTTTGCACATCTTTCTATTTTGCATGTTCATAATGAGAAAAAGGTGAAAAGCTTTCCCTGACATTGAGCATGCTTGAGGGACAATGACAAATATGTGACTTTTATTAATCTTTTCTATGTACAGCATGCAGTATTAAAGGCCAATAGGAGATCATTTATACATGAAAACACAGACGTCGCCATAGAATCATCAAGAAACATTGTCAGTGACAAATACAAGTGCTGCTGAACTTGTGGGACACCCAGGAAAGAAAAGCACATTAAATCCTGTCTATTTCCTTACTTTGAAAATTGATGCAATTATAAATGAATTCTTTCTTTCTTTCTTTCTTTCTTTCTTTCTTTCTTTCTTTCTTTCTTTCTTTCTTTCTTTCTTTCTTTCTTTCTTTCTGTCTTTCTGTCTGTCTGTCTGTCTGTCTGTCTGTCTGTCTGTCTGTCTGTCTGTCTGTCCTATCTATCTATCTATCTATCTATCTATCTATCTATCTATCTATCTATCTATCTATCTATCTATCTATCTATCTAATTGTACCACTGCATTGGCAACAGCCGAATTTGGGCTTTAAGGAAGTGGTGGATTTGGTAGAAGAAATATTAGGGGGGGGTGCACAGAGGTTCTATATACATACAATGAACTCTATGCTACAGCATAACTCAGAGATTAAAAGAAGAAGAACAGAAAGATAATAAATGCCCTACTCTAGATGCAGTAATTCTCTTCTAGAAAAAAAAACCATAGGTGGACTCAATCTCTGTGGCACATGCTTGGAGCAATTACCAAGGAGGGTATGCAACTGATACTGAAAAGAATATGGCTTTGCTACATCAGCAGAATTAAAATAGATCAAGAACATCTTAAACCATGATGATTACTATGATTTAAACCATGATTTCTATAATAATAATAATAATAATGTGCTGCCAAGTCATTTACAACCTATGGCAACCCTTTTCAGGGGTTTTTAGATAGAGATTACTCAGAAGTAGTTTACCATTCCCTTATTTTGGGGGCATGCTGTGACTGCAATTTGCCCAAGGCCACATAGGGTGGCTTTTCCAGTGTACAGTCTAAATCAGTACAATCTAAGCTTATTTAAATAGGCTCCAAAATCCACTGTTAATTTGATACCTGCTGCTGAGCAAGAAGAACTTACCAATGTGGCACTGTGTACATTTGGTATCACATTTAAATTAAATCTGCCTCTTATACACTGTTAACATTCAAGGATGCATCAGTTCCTCAGGACCTGCACTTGTTTCCAGCACTGCAGACACAGTGGCTAACAATGAAATTTAAAGGAGATGCTGAGCAAGAACAACATAGTTGGTTAAGTTCTTGCACTGACATGAGGCCAGAGGATAATCTAATATTTCTCTGTTTTATTCCAAAGAAAATAGAAGAAAGGGAAGGAGAAAGTGAAAGAATATAGTTTCTATATCAAGATAACCAGATTCTAAATGCCACCATGGTGTGCAGGATTTTGGAAGTTTTGGGCCAGAAAAATACAGTGGTGCCTTGCAAGATGAAAGTAATTTGTTTCGCTAGTGCACCATCCTGCGAAATTTTCATCTTGCGAAAAGCGGTTTCCCATAGGAATGCACTGCAATTCATTCCTATTGGAAACCTCACAAGACGAATGAATTATTTTCGTCTTGTGAGGCATTGGTCTTGCGGAAAAAAATCGTCTTGCAAAGTACGGCCATAGAACAAGCCGTCTTGCGAGTCACCAACACGATCGCAAAAAACATTCCTCTTGCGGGTTTTTCGTCCGGCGAGGCATTCATCTTGCAAGGCACCACTGTATATGTTTTCTATTTTCTATTTTGATTAGTAGAACAGTCTGGAAGCCAGGAATTATACATCTTTTCTCATACCCATATCAAACAAAAACCAAACCAAACCAAAAAAGCACACAACATAAACCAGCAAGGTCTAGGATACGGTGAAGTCAGATATTCTATCTAAAGCAGTGCTTTTCTGTTAATGTGAAATACACCTTTAGAAGACAGATGCTTGATGTGCTAATATGCACAAGAAAAGCCCCTCCGGTGGGGGGGAGTCAATAAGTACTTGGCATTAATATAGATAATATTATGTACAATATATTAAGTTTTGGTAGAATTGCAGAAAATATGTTATTGATAAGAAACCAGGGAAATGTACTTTGAATTCATTATTCTTTTAAAAGAATGCTAACAGCCTTGTGACTTGTTATTCATTTAATGTACACAAAGTTATGCAAATAAATATGGACTAGGGAGGATCTGAAGTCCGCTAGTGTCAGCACATGTAATCTGAGGACTGATTCTCACTTAAGGTGAATGTGAAGAGTAGGACATTTAAGAATGCTGTCATGTTAAAAATCTAGAAAGCTGCTGCTGGAAGAAGAGTTTGCCTTTGACAGAACATGTCCTTACGTTCAACTTTAGTATTTGTAACCATATTAGAAAGGATACTGAGAACTGGCCTCTAAAATGAAGATTTTTACAATATTTACTTTTAAAAAGTAACTGATCTACTGACACTGAAAAATGAAATTTTATTTCTGAGAGTTCAGTCATGCAAAGATAAATGTTAGACTACTGTACAATGTCTGCTCTTCTTAAGGAACTTGATTATCCAGCAGATAGGTGTTTTTTTTATTTATTTCAGCACATTTTCTCCTTCTTTGGAGGGGAAATCGGTTACAGTCAGCCCCTAAGAAGCTCCTAGCAGATTTCCTAGTGCATAAGGCTGACATTCTCATTGATGCTTATCAGCTGGCAGCCCTTTAACACTTTGTTTTGACCTTTGATTTAATTTTCATAAGGCAATACTGTATGCTTATGGATGGCTCATTTCACCACAGCACTGCGGGGACCACAGAATACATATCTGTCACCAGCATCAGCCCCTGCTCCCATCCCTAGCTGTGAAGGCTTGCCTCCAAAACTACTGAATGATTATAATTGAGATGGTCTTCATCATGAAATACATCCCTTAATTTCCATGGACTTTGTTTTTCCTTCCCCAGTTTTGGAGAGCCGTGGAATCTCTGCAAAGGGTACTCTACTTTTAACTACACTGGACATTTGTAAGTAAGACAGGGCAACAGCAGCTTTGTACCAGGCCACCAGAGTCTAAAGAGGATGCTGAAACCTAGAGTGGAACCTACTGTACTGTCGAGTGTTAGGAAAACAAACATCACCACTTCTGAGGAATAATCACCTTCCTTTTTCAATGTACTGTATGAGCTCTCTCTCTCTCTCTCTCCCTTTTTGAGAGGGACATCATATTCTGTTCCTGGTTTTTTTCTTTTATGGTGGCAGGAGCTCGAAGCAGGATTTTGGAAGTTGTGGTTCCCCCCACAGCTCTTTTTCCAAAGCTCTTGGCCAAATAGTGCTTTCTCTAAAATGTTGGATTAGTCAATCATTTAAAAATAAAGTACATAAACTTTTTTTGTAATCATCATTATCGGGAATCGTTCTGCTTTTAACAATCTAATGTTTACTAGAACTATGATAGAGGGAGGCAAAGTTTTACAAGGAACTCCACAATCAACTCTTCATAATGGCAAGCACTACTGCACTTAATCAGATGCTTCAATAGTCTTTTTGTCTAAGACAAACTCAAAATTGAGTCCTCAAAGTCTGTAACTAGGGAAGAGCAAGTGGGGCATTGCCTCAAGGTGCCAAACTTAGAAGGCACCAACATTCAGAGGCAAATCTACTTATGAATGTCAGGAACATAAATGGCAGCACCTCCTGGCTCTATTCACTTTCTATGTTTTTTTCCTTTTGAAATCATTAATGTCTTTCTTTTGAGGTCTCCCATGCTCTCCTCTCTCTCTCTCTCTCTCTCTCTCTCTTTTTTGGAAAGGGGGCTCATACCCAGGAGGGAGACCATGTTTAATGGCTCAGATGCCAAAACCAGTACTTGTGACTCTGCCTTGAGCCCACCTCTTAATGCCTCACCTTGCAGGGTTATTTGCTTACACAGAGCTCATTTGCCTTCTATTGGCTTACAGTGGCCTTGGGGGAATCTCCTGCAGAGCTGCTCCTCCTGTTCTCTGACATATCAAGCACTGAAACATGGACTTTCTGCACATGGAACAGGCACCCTACCTTTGAACTAACCTTACCAAGTGTTCGTTTTTGCCAATACTTTTCCTACCTATTTCTTTTCAGTACACCATATCTCTTTTCCTTGATTCAGTTAATTTCTCCTTTTTCTCATACCTGCTCTCACTACCTTTTTTGCTCTCCTTTTCAATTTCCTTCTGGGTAGCTTCTTCTTGGGCCCTTCTTGTCCTGTAAATGTTGAGACCAGTTACTTTACTATAGTGGTGTAGCCTAGTAGTGAGCATACATAACCTGTAATATATTTAACTCAGTGTCTCACTGTTTTGTTTTGTGCCAGTTCTACAGTATGCATTTCCCTTCATTACAGTTCAAATAGCTTACCAAAATTAAAATTACCAAGTATCATCAGCAACTATTTCAGCAAATCATTCTTGGCTATAATTGAAAGTCCATAATTCACTATTTAGTTTGTTGGGATTTTTCACAATTCTTGGTCCTGCTGTTCTAGGAGGTTCTACCTGGCTTGTCTGCAAAAATGTCTGGTACATTTTTGTGCTCTCACATACCCTATCTCTGCATCCTCCTGAATCATCTCGGCAGACACTTACAATTCTTGCTTCTCCCCTGCAACATCCTGGTATCCAGCCAACACATCCACCAACCCCTCCTGTGGCTCTTTCCTGGCTACACATATAAAAATCCTACACCATCTGGAGGTTTTCTCAGATAGCTTATTTAGGATTTCAGCTTGTGACTTCAAACTGTAATCCATGAGTAAACGACTCAAGTAATGTTAGATTTTTTAAAAAAATCATTGTAAGTTCAGAGTATTCTGATTGTGTTCACATTAAATTTTATAGATATGTTGATTAAAAGTAGTTTTCTAGAGGTGGATGTTAAGATGGGGTGTCACGGTTTTCTAATGTCCTATCACTTTCCAAGATGTAATCCTTGGATAAACTGCTTAATTAATGTTGGATTTTGTGAATCCTTGCAAGTTCAGACTATTCTGATTATGTTAATGTTAACATTTTATAGTTATGTTTGATTGAAAGCAGATTTCTTAGATGTGGTTATTAAAATATGTTATAACAATGAGACCTCGAAAACACCCCCCCACGTTCTTCCCTCACTTTGACTGTCCTCTGATTTTTTAATATTTATTTTATTGCCATTGAATTTAGTGCTGTATCGTCTCTATACATGTAAATTTTTTAAAAAGAGACAGGAAAAAGAAGCAAGACAAAATGAAAGAGGGTACCTTGGAATGTGTATTTTTGAAAACTAAGTTGGTTTACAACAAGCCATAAAAGGAAAGCCAAAGGCAGGACTAAAGAGAGGATAGAAAGAAGGGGGCTGTGGGCTGGAATGCCAACTGCAATATGTCCAGTGTGAAAACCGAGCTCCCCAAATATTCCACAGCCCCATGCGAGTACCGATTACCATTTTAAACACAATAGAGACTTTGAAGGAAAGTTCAATCCTTCTGTTTAGGTGTTCAAATGTAGACATGCCCTGAGTAACTTTCTCCTTGAAGAAGTCTTCCTATTTGTGACAACACTACACTGCCTCCTCTAACTATGCTGGCAATTGGCCAGATTAAGGATGTTACCCTCCACCACTTTCTAGAAGCAGCTTGCCATCTCTGATAGATGAGTTGTCTTCAAGATGTCCTCCAGCCTTGCCCCACTGATGTGGATGCTCTCAGCAGAATATGCGTGTGCTTTTTTCCTTGTTTGTCTTATACTCTGACTTACGGAGCAGGAGGATCCTATCGACATACACCTGTCCTCTCCATCAAATGACTTTACTTCATATTCCAATTTGATCTCATGGCCTCTGCACTCAGCCTGTCCTCTCCATCAAATGATTTTTGATCCAATTTGATCTCATGGCCTCTGCACTCAAGCACTCAGAAATGGGGTCTGAGTAGTGTCTGTAGAGGATGAGTACAGTGGTGCCCCGCATAGCGACGATAATCCGTGCAGCAAAAATAGTCGCTATACGGATTTGTTGCTATGCGAAAATAAAAAGCCCATAGGAATGCATTAAAACCCATTTAATGCATTCCTATGGGCAAAAAACGCACCTTCAAGCGAAAATCCTCCATACGGCTTCCATTTTCACTGCCCGGTAAGCGAGGAATGGGTGCGAAAACACAGCAGGCGGCCATTTTTTAAACCCGGTGGCCATTTTGGAACCGCCGATCAGCGAAACAGCTTACCGATCATCGCAAAGCGATATTTTCCCATTAGAAACATCGCAATGCGATTGCAAAAGCAATCGCAAAAAATTGTCGCTATGCGGATTTGTTGTTAAACGGGGCGCCTGTTAAGGGAGGCACCACTCTATCTATCTATCTATCTATCTATCTATCTATCTATCTATCTATCTATCTATCTATCTATCTATCTATCTATCTATCTATCTATCTATCTATCTATCTATCTATCTATCTATCTATTATTTGTTTATTTATTTATTTATTTATTTATTTATCTATCTATCACTTTAATTTATATTTATTACTTTAATTTATATATAACACTATTAGTGTAGAAGCACTATTCTGGGTGTCTTACATCAATGAAAAACTCATATACAAACATACATAAAAAACAACTTGAAACAAATAGCAGCAATCATTAAACCAAATGGTGCCAAGGATAAATTTGCCAATAATAGCAGGACAAAAGGTGGGCCATTCAACCAAAGTCAGGGTGAAAAACCTCCCTGAATTTTCAATTACCTCCTGAGTGAAAACAGGGAGCGAGCAAGATGAAGCTCCTCTGGAAGCTGGTTCCATATCACTGGTGCTACCAAGAAGAAGGCCTCTCATGGAAGACTTTTGGGGTTCCCTCAGGGTGGCTACTCCAAGGAGCAGTCTGGAATGATCTGGTGAATCAGATCATTGGGGAAAGATGCTCCAACAGGAAACCTGGTCCCAAGCCATGAAGGGCTTTATACGTACATGCATGTCAAAACCTTGAAGCTGATCTGGGATACAATTGGGTAACCAGTGAAGACTGGCCAGAACTGGAGTGATATGGTCATATTTACTCTCCCCAGCCACCAGTCTGGCTGCTGCATTCTGGACCCACTGTAGTCTCTGGGTCAGCCTCAAGGGAAGCCCCACATAGATAGCAGTGCAGCAGTTGATCTGGGAGATGGTTTGGTACCACACTCAAACTTGTGATCTTTCTATTCCTTTTAATGGGGTGCTCTTGAGAGAGTTTTTTCCAAGGATTATTCAGGTGTCACTACATATCCTAGACCAAACTCTTTATCATTAGAGAAATTAATTTCTAGAACTAGCCAGGACTTCCAGCCTCCCTCTGCTTTCCCACTAAGTTTAGGGAGAACTCGATAGTGTTTTAGATGATAGAGTGATGTTTGTTGACATTGTCCTCAATCCTGTTCTAGATGGGTCAGAATAAGAAAATTAAACTCCCCATTTCCTGTGAGAAAGAAGAAACAAATGGAGGCTGCTGCAGCTGGAGAAGTGTCTGAAATCACATGTTTAGCTCCTTGTCCAAATAGATAGCAGTGAGGAGACAAACTTTATAGATAAATAATGATAGACTCTATGGGCGAACTCAATGGTCAGATTTTCCACTTGCTGCATATTGGTTTGAGGGTAAAGGAGGCTATGACACTACCAGGAGCACACTAAATCTCCTGCAATTTCAAAAGCGAACAAGGGTTAGGCCTAGTTAGTGCTCAGAAGGGAGAGTACAGTAGGACACCTTATCCACAGGATCAGTATCCACTGATTCACTTATTCATGGTCTGAAAATATTTAAAATGTTAAAAGAAAAAATTCAGAAAAAATGATTTTCACATGTATTACCAGAATGGACCACTAGAGGGAGCAAGAGAGTGTGCTATGAATACTTGTTAGTGAAGAATACATAGCATGGTCTCTGGCAACGTCTAGTGCTAATGTATGTGACAAAAAATTTCTGGTATGCACACACACAGTTATATATATACTGTTATTCATGGTTTCCAATATCTATGGGGGGCAATCTCCAGTTGATATGGGCTTTTTATTGTACTAGTGAATGCCAGGAACTTTCAAGTAGAGCCAAAAAAAATCTGCCTGTAGAGATGAAAATAGCAATACTTTCAGCAATATTATTAATAATGCTGACTCAGTGTGAAGGCATTTTCCCATGCATCTACAATATGTCCATCACAACAAGAAAGCCTGGGCGGGTCATAGGCTTGACTAATAAAATAATATTAGTGTTTGAGAAAGCTCCTGTAGTCCATGTGTCCTGCCCTAGAGACTGCGGAGATCTGTGAAGTCCTGCCTTTGGGGAAGACAGACATTGGTGGAGACGGTACTGAATGTTGAGACTGTACAACAGATGTGAAGGAGAGAAATAAACTGAGGTGCCATTTTGTAGCCATTTTCACACAAACATTGCTTTTCTCAAGATGATAACATGCATGCAGACTGAGATGAGGAAACAGAAGACATTTGCAGCCAGATAGCAAAGCAGCAAGGAGGCATATTTTATGGTTAAGTATGAACAGTGGCCATGATAAAGCACCCAAGAAAGATACATCCAACATAATGACAAATTACAAAATGCAAAAACCTGTCTATTTCTGCTTTTACCTGACAAGTGACTTGTCTCAGGGACAGGCAGCTGCATGACTCTCTCGTCTGCTGTAGAAAAAAAGTGTGTGGAGTTTGTTTTTAACCTATTTTTCCTTTTCTGCTCTGAAACTTTGCTTAACATTTGAAAATGCAAAATGGGTTAACCCTACGTGGGTACTTACATGGCTTCAAGCATCTGCTAATGCAGTCAGCTTCTGTCTCAAATCTATTGGCGTTACCACCACACCCACCATACCAAACCTGGGTGCAGATCTTGTTTTTGTAGTCAAAGAACCACTTAACCTGATATTCCTTGCACTGTGTGCCCATGTCAAGGTCCAGCAAGCAAGGATCTGTCAAATTCGAATTTCAAAATGTGCAAATGTTAAATGACTCTGAAAACGTTAAGAGCTGCAAAAGGCACAGAAAGTTAAAACAGAAGCCATTTTCAACAGCAACATGAAATGAAGCTTGATGAGAACTGCTATCAGTCTTCTGATGTTTATAGCCTAAGAAGTAATAATCTAGCAACCATTTCTAATAAATTATAGACATGCCAGGCAGCCAATGCATGCATCTTAATACCTTGTTCTGTTTTAGTTTTATTTTTTTGCATAGATTTGCTGTAGACGTGCTCGGTTTATACAATAGCCAACTACAACACAGTGCTAACAGTCAGAGGCATTAAAAAGCATAATGAGAAAAATGCAGTAAATGGTGTAATTATCTAATTGTACCATCCACGTAAAATTTTTGAGTGCTTTCCTCATTTAGAAAAGTAAGGTTCTTACTAGTTTGCCCTGAGATCTCTCCGTCCATAGGGCAAATCATGGCCAAAACACACACATTTTCCCCATCTATTAATGTGGGCACCTCATTTAAAAAGTTTGTTTACAGTCTTTGGCCTGCTTCCCTACCACCCAGCTGATTTTGATCTGCTGATCTAGGCCTTTTGCTGCAAGGATTGTAGGTACATGGCTCTGATTAGAGATGGGCATGAATCAGAAAGATTGTGAGTCATTTTGATTTGTTGCAAATTGCAAATTAATGATTTTTTCTGACAAATCAATGAATCTATTTGTGAATCTATTTTTTTAATTAAAAACCCTATAAAATGTCCCCCTCAAGCACCTAAAGACACAAAATTTGCAGGGAAGCTTCCCTGGAGTCTCTTCTACAAGCTCTTCATGTTTGGTGATTTGGGTTTTGGATGTCTAAGTTACACACCCACAAGGAGGGCACACCTCAGGAAAGTTCCCCCCAGACACCTAGAAACAACAAAATTACAGAGAAGTGTCTACTGACTCTCCTCTACAGTCCCTCCAAGTTTGGTGAAGATTGGGTTTCAGACATCCAGAAAATGGGTCCCCTCAGTAAAGTGCCCTTTAGCAGCTGCCTTAGGCAAACCCAATCTTCACTAAACTTGGAGGGAGTGTAGAGAAGCGTCAGAGGGAGCTTCCCTGCAATGTTGGCCTCTCTAGGTGTCTTGGGGGTCATTTTATAGCCAAATGAATCAACAAATCAAAAATCGCTAAAATTTGTTGATTCGTATTAATTGGTGGTATTGATTCATATGAATACGAACCAATGAATTAGTGATTTTTGAACAATTTTAGTGATTCGTGTTTTAGTTTGTGTCCAGTATGCCAAATACTGACAAACTGATCATCTGGGAAGGAGGGTGGTGTGCCTGTCATTTGTGACTCTTAAGCAAGTTCCTGAGTGAGCAGGGCATAGGCATTTGGTCTGCTGAGTGATGTCCCTAGTTTGCTTTTCTCAGGAGTATCTTTATAGCATCATCATAACAGGACAAGTGAGGGATTTTATTTTACTTGATAACTCTTTTTCCTTTTGAAGTAGGAGGCTTGTTGAATTGCCTGGAAGTACATTCCAATACTGGGCCCTTAAATTTTCCTGGGAGTCACCAGACTAATTGAGACAATAATGGTGAGGATCTACTACCATTGAAGCAGTCAGTTATTTCTATAGAGTTGGACTGAGCTTTTCCCCCATCCCATCATATTCATTTATTATCTCCTGTCTTTATTGTGAGTTGTGATTTTCTTTTTTGCTACCTCTGGATTTGTGTTTAATTTTAGATTATAAATTCCTGGGGCAGATGCCTATCAGTTTTGTTTTCGAATAAACAGCAATTTCTGCTCATACACCAGTCAACTCAATAACTTCTAGCACATATCTTTTATGTAGCTAGGAGGCTCACTTCTCTTAGTAATTTTTTTTTTGTCTATGCTCAAATTTCTGTCTTTACTTCAGGCTCAATGGCTTAAACAGATACATTCAGATCTGGGGGTATAATCAAAACTCTTAAGTGGAAACATGCTAGAAACATATGAAGGGCAAAACAGAAGAATATGAAAAAGAATTCAGATTCAGAAACTTCAGCTTTCCCAGAGTATTTGCATATGTGAGGCTTGATTTTTATTTTGTTTTATGTATTTTCTATGTTTCTGGTGAGAATATAAGGCCTTCCCTGTCTGAAAAATGTATCAGATTCAAAAACATTCATCTACAGTAACTTGTAATGCAAGAAAGGCTACAACAGCTACATGAAATAAGTTGTGGGTATAGTGTGGATTGATAGGCTGAAATTGCATGTCCACTGAGATGGTTGTAGGGGTTCTTCACTCTAGGACCTGGTTTTGTTTTAGTTTTTTGCTTGTTTTTGCTCACACTGAACTTTTGATGTATGACAAAGAGAATCTTGAGTAATAATGTGAGAAAACAGTGGTATACTTTAACTTGATCCAAGGGCCTAGTCCCTCCAGGCCATTTCAATTGCTTCAATTGCTTCAATTTTCTACTCATTTATACTGATATACATTTTATATATATTTCATTGGGATAGCACTGTAGCCCATAAAACCTGTTCAAAGTTCAAGAAATGTATTGTAATAAAATACAGCTGTCTGGATGCACCCAGTTATTTTTACACCATGTGAATATATGTAAATGTGTGTGTGTGTGTGTGTGTGTGTGTGTGTGTGTTTATATATATAATACACACACACACACACTTACATATATTCACATGGTGTAAAAATAACTGGGTGCATCCAGACAGCTATATTTTATTACAATACATTTTTTGAACTTTGAACAGGTTTTATGGGCTACAGTGCTATCCCAATGAAATATAAATAAAATGTATATCAGTATAAATGAGTAGAAAATTGAAGCAATTGAAGCAATTGAAATGGCCTGGAGTGATTAGGCCCTTGGATCAAGTTAAAGTATACCACTGTTTTCTCACATTATTACTCAAGATTCTCTTTGTCATACATCAAAAGGTCAGTGTGAGCAAAAGCAAGCAAAAAACTAAAACAAAAGCAGGTCCTAGAGTGAAGAACCCCTACAACCATCTCAGTGGACATGCAATTTCAGCCTATCAATCCACACTATACCCACAACTTATTTCATGTAGCTGCTGTAGCCTTTCTTGTATTACAAGTTACTGTAGATGAATGTTTTTGAATCTGATACATTTTTCAGACAGGGAAGGCCTTATATTCTCACCAGAAACATAGAAAATACATAAAACAAAATAAAAATCAAGCCTCACATATGGAAATACTCTGGGAAAGCTGAAGTTTCTGAATCTGAATTCTTTTTCATATTCTTCTGTTTTGCCCTTCATATGTTTCCCAGCATGTTTCCACTTAAGAGTTTATGCCCTATGAGATGTTACTATGGGTCACAGATACATATTATATTATCTTGTGGCTCTCTTATGAGAAAAAACAACTAACAAGGAATTAAACACCTAGACAAAGACAAGTGCCTTCCAAGAATCAGGCCACTGCAATATTTGCTGTGTGATACAAGATGATAATCAGTGAGAAAAAGATACATGTGCAAAAGATAGATAGATAAGCAAAAGGTAAGAATAATAGAATAAGGTAAATTAACAGCTGCAGAAGAACTGAAATAAAAATTCAGTGATTATTATACTGGAACATTGTGGGGAAAAAAGAGACAATATGACTCAAAGAAAGACACAGCCTCAACTACACTAAAGCATTTGGAAATCAGCTCATATTGAGGACTTGTTTTATCTCTCTCTCTCTCTCTCTTTTTAGAGATTCTCTTATGAAGCTTGATGCAGAGATCAGAATATTGAAATTAATGCTTTCAAGCAGCCTGCTTGAAGATAATCACATAGCCTTTAGGTAGAAATGTGAGTAGGAGAAATTGATTCAGATGCGCTTACAAATTATATAAAATACAGTTTGCATATCTTTCCTTCTTAGGATGCACAGTAGGGAATCAAACTGTCAACCTCTGGCTCTGCTGCCAGGTGGCCTAACTCAGGAAGCCAACCAGTCGTCATAGTTTTCATATAACAATGTAAAAAGAGTCTTACACTGCATCTTACATCCCTTCAAAAGGCTTGAAACCAAGCTTTGAGCTTTCAAACCATGAAACCAACTACAAAATTTAAGAACTTGTAGCAAATTGTCTCAGGTCAGAACCAGGTAATACAGAATAATTTAAAAAATGTAACAGAAGCTGTGGGCATGTTGTCAAGTTGAAACCAACTTATAATGACCCTAATAGGGCTTTGAGGTAAAGTGAGGTATTAGAGTTATTTTACCTGTTCCATACCCCCCCCCAGGAATTTCCAACGGCTGAGGAGGGACTCAAACCCAACTCTCCTAAGCCCTCATCTGTCATTCTACAAACTATACCACACTATCTTAGCAGAAGCTGGGCAAATAAATATTTTTTTTCTTTAAATTGTACACTTTTGAAACAGTTGTGTGGAATGTTTTGCCTCTCATTAAAATGGCCAATACACAATGGATGTTTCATATAATTAGGCTGCCAGTTTAAAACAAGGGGGGATGTTCTATCAATATTTCTATCTCATTTTTAGGAAGATGAACAATTAGAAGCAGGCAAATGACAACTTATCATTTAAAACACAACAGACATTCTAGCAGGTATTTCAGCCATAAGTGACTTATACTTCAGTGATTATTAAAACACACAGAACAATAGACGTTTGGAATTAATACAGCACTCACACATTTATAACACATATTAACAATCCACATATTGTTAATCATAGATTATAATCCAGCTAGGTGCCATTAATGATGTGTGATAAATAATCATTAATACCTTGAGACAAGACACACAAACAGTCTTATGTTATGAGAGAAACTTACATAACGGATCATTTTCCAAGGAGCCACAGGAAAATATACTCTCTACTGCACCCTGCAAACACTTTTATTTCTTGGTTTACAAGAGGTAGCTATGTTACTCTGTGCAAGAATATCAGTTAAAATCCCAAGAAACAAGACAAGAGAGAAACATGTGGCACCTCAAAGACTAATTATTATATTTTAATGTGAGCTTTCGTGGACAAGTCCACTTTGTCAGATGTATGGAAATAACATGAAATAATTCATGGCTGAAATTTCAATTCCACAAAGAGAATACTTTAAGAGTCTTCAGTGTGTGGTTTTATCCCACATGCAGTAATTTATGGTCTATGTTTGATGTTGGGTTCTGTTGTAAAGATTCCTACAGGAGACAGAAAACAGACACCGGGCATGAGCAAGGAGTGGCGAGAAGGGCTGTGGGGGAGGGGTGAACACCGAGGATTTAGTTAAAAACTCAAAAGGGGAGGAAAAGAAAGGTAACAGAAGACAGTAGAGGAACCACGTGTGCTAAGGTAGGGTATTTTGACAGTGTTTACCTTAGAGCCATGTGATGACAGATGGGCTTTGTAGTTGTGACGAAAATAACAGTAACAGTAGGTACAGATGGGCTTGGTAATTGTGACGAAAATAACAGTAACAGTAGGTAACAGCATAAGTATTTACATTTGGCAATGACTTAAGAAACCTAGGCTCATATTCAATCCATTTATATGGGTGTCCATCATGCGTATAAATTTTATCTCAGCTGTTTCCCTCCATATTCTTGATTTGTAATGATTCTCTTCCGAAACAGTGACTTTCAAATCTTCTACAGAATTCTCCCCTAGCCATTTTGAGTTTTTAACTGAATCCTCAGTCTTCACTCCCAACACCCCTTCTCCCCCACCCCCTCTTTGCTCATGCCTGGTATCTGTTTTCTGTCATCTTTAGGAATGATTACAATAGAACTCAATACCAAACACAGGCCATAAATTACTGAATGTGGGATGTAACCACTCACTCAAGGCTCTTACAGCCAATGAATATTCAGAGTGTTCCACTTGTGGAACTGATATTTCATCCATCATTTCATTTTGTTTCCATACGTCTGAGGACTTGTCCACGAAAGCTCACGCTAAAATATAATATTTAGTCTTTAAGGTGCCACATGTTTTTGTCTTTTTGTTTTGTTTTGTTTCTTTGGATTTTGCCTAATTTATTCATTGGCTTCATGATGGCTGTTGCCTTATGTGAGGCTTAGCCATTTCTTCTTGTATAAAGAAAAGACACTATCAAAATAAGAAGGTTCTTCTTAAAAAGATGGAGAGAAGTGTTGTTGTTGAAGGGTGGGTTCAGTTTACGGCTGCTGAGGGACGACGTCTCTTGGAACTCATCAATGAACAAACCAGAGCAACCAAGCCTCTCTAGCCTTTGGGGCCTGAAATAGCCGCCACCAAAGGAACAAACCCCTTTCCCTTATTTTAAGCTCCAGAGGAATCAGAGGTGGCAAGCCCCATGTTAAGAAAGTTAATTGCCTAACGAGTGGATCTGAGTGAAAGCACAATTAATGCAGGGCTTGTGTAATTGTCCTTTGATTACTTCAAATTGTCAGGAATTTGAAGCAAACTTCTATGAAAATGTGAGAATAAAAGGCTGAAATGCACACTTTTATTCTATCCTTCAGGGAGTACTAAAAGTCAAGGTAGCAGCCTGGCCGAGGGTCTGGGGATTCTTTCTCCTATGCCCAGCTTCCTGCCTTTCTGAAGCCTTAATTCTTGGAAAGGTCAGAGCAGAGCCGATTTCACAGCATATGCATTTTTCCATGTAATTTATAACAAAACACATTTTGTGCCCATTTTTCATCCCTCTCCCATTTTTTCAAATACACATTATATTTCCTTTGCTTTCCAAGGCAATGTGCAAAGCAGTAGTTTCACATGTATCTGGAATTCATGCAGCCCACCATAGAAGAAGTGCACAAGTCACTGCTTCTCACATTTTACTGGAAACACAAGCGACTTGAGCCACCTTTTAGCTCTTTGCACATCTGAAATGACCCAATGTCAGGCTCTGGCTCCACTCCTTTTCTGTCCTCTTTACAAAAGCTATTGCTGTCTTGCGTAATTAAGCTAAAAAACAGAGCACAGTTGAGCACTTATTAATATGAAAAATTTCTTTGCTTTAGTTACGTAGCATGTATTATGAATACCAGGTGTTTCATAGTCTGAGCAGTGTCTCTTAACTGAAAGAGTTCTTCCCTTTTCCAAGCTATCAGGGTTCTCTAATGGCACACAATTATTCTTAATGGAACACTGCATGTGTTCTTCCATTTTGATATTCTACTATTCCAGAGAAAACAACCTGTCTTCTTTCATTCTGGTAACATACCACCAAAGTGGGCCTTGCTTCAAATAATTCTGTCTGGGAGTTCAACTAAAAATAGTATAACCAAATAATTTAGATTTAGCAGTTGTAGTGGCCATGAGACTCACCTATTTCAGGTTTTTCCAATGGCTCAGTGTTCATCATCAAATTGGCTACTGCTGAAGGCGGCTTGGGGACAGGCATGCTCTCTGACAAAAACAAAGCAAAACAACACCAAAGTATTTGTGTGTGCGGGGTGGGATAGACTAAAAATATAGCCAAAGCAACAGAAATATGAATTGTCCAGTGTTTGAGCTGGTCACCCGACCGTAATAAATAAATTCATTCATTTATTCAATTGCTCGGTGTTATCACACACAATATAATGACTACAACGTTCTTGAAGCAGCAACTTGAGTATGTAGCTCCTAGGGGCAATTTTGTGGCCTCAAGGCCACCCTAGACCCTCTTTTTAAAAGCACCAAAAATGGAGGTGATTTTGATCAAGAAATATTTTAGAAATGGTGTATTTCTCCTCTCAGGCTTTGGAGTGGATATCTCAGAAGACTCCCACAGCACAAACCACCCAAACCACAAGTGCTCATTTGTAACATGCTCCAGATCCAGGCAGCCTAATGTGTATAATAGAGAAACCGCTATATTGCGGTGTATATGGCTAGCACTTATCTGAGAGAGCCAGTAGAGTGCAGACATTAAGAGTATTAGATTTGGAACCTGGACAGTCAAACAAAAATCCACAAAAAAACCCAAAACGAACAAAAAAGCCCTGCTAATGCATGAGAGCACTACAGGAATCCTCTACAAATGGCATACTACCATCTGATCTGCAGGCAAAGCTCCTGTCCTGATGTTATTCCCCTTGGTCTTCTTCTCCAACCCCATCTGTTTCTACTGATGGTCCCCCCAAAAAAAATCCACAAAAAACCCCAAAATAAACAAAAAAGCCCTGCTAATGCATGAGAATACTACAGGAATCCTCTGCAAATGGCATACTACCATCTGATCTGCAGGGAAAAAGAAAAAGGGAAGTGGCTTCGCAAGGAAACACATAAAGTGAGATTTCCTTAAGAGAAAGTAGCTTAAATCCGCTTAGCTGTACCACATAAGTCTGATGACATCATTGTGATTTTTAACAAATGAAATATTTCTGATTCCCTGCCCCCATGCCCCCTCACGGAACCCCTTTTGTCAGGGAAGGCACTGAATATTGTGACTAGAATTTAGGCAAAACCTGGAAAATCAGGCATTATGGCAACCCTATCCTTTTTGGGGGGGGGGGGGCATTATGGCAACCCTATCCCTCTTTTTTTTTGGTAGATTTATGCCTCCAGTGGAAACCAAGGGCATAATGTGGTCACATAGCACTCAGGTCTTGCAGACCCTTGCTTTAAATGCTATAATTCAAGTAAATGCAGATCTGTAACATAAATTAAAGTCATAAATGAATGTATATTAACACAACGTTTTCAAACATCCATAGCATTTTACCTAAATAAACTTGCACTCATTCCAAGAATTCTGAAAGTATGATCAATATTACTATTTTTAGGCTAAAGAGGCTAGTGGGACCTTGATTCTGAAGGAGTGAGAAAGCAATTTACTAATTAGAAAGTCAGTAGCAGAAGAGATATTCAAATCATAGACTTCCTAGTTCATAATTCCGTCTCTTTCCCACTATGTAAGCACTGTCTATAGGCTTGGGAGGGGTGCAAAATGTTTGGGTCTCTCAGGATTATGTCAATTCATCTTTATGCCATTCAGTCAACAGAATTCTACTGCCAGCTTCTAATGAATGTCCCAGGATTAAAATATACTGTACTGCTTTACAAAGTAGTGTTCAAAACATTTGGCCCCTGCTTATAGCATTGTCTGGGCATGAGTTATCATTACTAATACAAATGTTTATATTTCTAATACTTGTAAACTACAGTGAAAAACAACACATTTAATCCCCCCGTGCCCTAAAAAGGTAACTTACTTGTGCTAAATGTTCCTTTGTAGCTTGCTTTGGCCTGTGCATCATGGTAGCCTGTGACAACAACATGATACTTCTGCCCACTCCCAAGACCTCCAATGACCCGTTCAGTACCAGTTACATTAAGTCTCAGAATTAAAGAGTGGTCGTGTGCTGATGTGATTGTGATGTCGTAGACGTAGGCATGTTGAGGCTCAGGATTCACCCAGTGTAGTTTCACACTGTTTTCTGTGATATTAGTTATTTGGATTTCTCCAATCTGCTTAACTTCTGTTAAAAAAAAAAAGAAGAAGAAGCTTGGATAAGGCCTTAAGAAAAGCTAGTAATTAATGGATCTTGAATAATTTTAATATTGTCTTTAACTCCAAATAAAAGTTAAAACACAGAAAGGGATCACTAATAAAACATAAATGAGATTGCAACCAACTGCACTGCTGTTACGGAATCATTTCATAAATGAATGTTTGTGGTTTATCTCAGTTTTCTCTGTGTTCCTTCTATTTCCATATTAATGTGCATTTTTTCCTAAAACCTACTTGAAAAATTGTATGTAATTATGTGGGTTTTTTTTCAAAATAAAAAAAATCCTCTAAACCCTCCTTTTCTTAGGTTCCCTTTGATTCTGCCACCTCCAGTCCATAGCCTGTTAAATGCCTTCCAAGTAACCCAGTTCTCTATGTGGCCAGGGGCTAGACTTTCCTGGGGTTCCCTCCATTTTAAATGTTCGTTTTAAGCAGGACAATTCTGGTCCAACAATATTTGTATGGACTCAAACAGATAGCAAAAGTGGATGAGCAGAAGCAGAATTGGTCTACTACTTCCAAGGGAGAGGATCAAGAGGATCAAGAGGTATCTTCTTTGTGGAAAGTTGCTGGATCGGTCTATCAGCTCAGGGGAAGATGTATCTGAGTATTAAACAAGTCAAGGAGTTAGGAAGATATAAAAAAGAATCATTTGTGAACTATTTAAAATGGATTTTCTCTCTCTTTTTAAAAAATATATTTCTTGGATATCATCATCATCTTAGATAATCAGGTCCAGCCCCTGGCAAGGAGGCACAGTGAGGATTCAGACTCCCAATACCTAAACCACTGAGCTACTCAGCAAGGTTATATTGTTTGGGAAATGGCATTAATTTGGAAATGGGTGTAAAGAAGATGCAGAAGAAGATAATAGATAAGCATGACCAGATTGTAAACCTTATTTATTACTTGTTTGGGAATAAATAAGTAAATAATGGTTATAATCTAGGGTAGGGGTGGGATTGTAAAAGGGAAATAGATGAGGAAGAGATGTGAACTGGTAAGTAAATGTTCTTTCAGGTTACAGAGTCTCCCCATAAAAGAAAAGTCTTAAAATTAAGGGAATTTTTTAAAAAGATAAAGTTGTTTAATTAATGAAGAGGATACGAATAAGGTATATGGGAGTTAGAATGAGTTATGATTTTAGTAGTAGATCAACCTATATTCAGCTGATGTTATCAGTTAGAATTTATACAGATGGGAAGTGCCAGTAATAGATTATTAAAAAGTTTAGCTAAAATAGAGGTATCACTTAAATAGAATGGGTCAGAATGGGACAGAGTAAGAAAAAGCATATATGAGATGCGGTTATCATTTGAATATACAGTGGTGCCTCGCATAACGTTTAGAGTAAGAAAAAGCATATATAAGATGTGGTTATCATTTGAATATATAGGGGATAGAAATGAAAATAGTTAAATAGAGTTGGATGATGAATGAAATAGGGGGAAAAGTAGAGTAAGAAAAAGCATATATAAGATGTGGTTATCATTTGAATATATAGGGGATAGAAATGAAAATAGTTAAATAGAGTTGGATGATGAATGAAATAGGGGGAAAAGAAATAAAGGTGATAGAAATGAAAATAGTTACATAGAATTGGATGATGAATGAAATAGGGGGAAAAGAAATAAAGGTGAAAGGTTGGGTGCTTTGACATGTTTTGAGCCAAGAACTGTATCACACAATTTGGAGAAAATGTCTCCATAAAGTTAACTAAGAAGGTTTGCTAACTTTCCTGGCTCAGGCACATATTGGCTGAAATCCTTTGCATAGCTATACAAATGTTGTAGTTTTTAGATGAGAATTGTCACAAGAAATATCTGTAGGGATTATCTGTTGCACATTGAGACATGTGAGATAATGTCTACAGAAATTTCTTAACTTGCAACAATTCTCATCTAAAAGTTACACCTTTTGCATAATTGCACAATAGGATTTTCACCATCCGCTAATCTGGAAGCAGAAAGGATGCCATGATGAGTAAGTGGACAAATGCTGTTTTGCCATTAACTCTTCTTTATCTCAAACTGCATTGCAAAACTGAAGATGTGCAGAAATAAAAGAACTGCGCTGTTTTGAAATCTGAGTGCCTGATAAAGGAGAAACAAATCTAAATTCAAAAGATGAAGAAGAACCCTTAAGAAGGAGGGAGATGGCAAAAGGGGAGATTTAAAATTAAAAGCACCCTTCTGCCATTGCCTTGATGATCACATCCAAAGAACGGCAAAGAGAATGACAACTTAACCTTCTTCCCCAACTTCCTTGTCATGCTTCCCTACTTCTAGATGAAAGCTATGCTCCCAATCTCCCTTGTGGCTCCAGCAGTGAAAGCTGCAGTTTCATAAAGCTTCTTGTCTTTCTTTTCAAAGGCTTTGTGCGCATTTATACTAAATGAACAGTTTGTTATTCAGTAAAACTAAAACCAATATGAGGTAGACTGAATGAAACTGTGGAACAGTTGTAATGTAAAGTACGTTTCGCTGGGGGAGATATGTGGCTACCACTCAAGCTACCATCACTACCATCATCCCTCCGGGCCGACTCTTCATCCTGCCTGGCCACCACCGCTGCTTCGGAGCTTGTCCGAGACAAGCGGGTCCGGGAGGAGATGAAATGGCTGCCAGGCCCCGTGTTGCCGGGGAGCCCCTGGGACTGGGAGCTCTTTCGGGTGTTCACCCTGGCCTTGCTGCACGAGGCGCTGTAAATGTAAAGTAAGATGTTCAAGTGAGTGTTCACCCTGGCCCTGCTGCTGTAGCCGCCCCAGACAGCGAGGTGCTGTAAATGTAAAGTAAGATGTTCAAGTGTAACATCCCAAAGAAACTTGGTAAAGGGTGAATATTGTACATACCTTCCAGTTTTTCTGTTGCATGTGGTGGTAATATAGGCGTGGTGGTAACGTTATTTGGTATGTTTCTGATCGGATAAAAGAAAATAAGAATGAATATGAGTTTTTTTCAGAAGATTGTTAAGGTAATTTTAGAAGTTTGCTTGGTAAGCTAATACTCTTCCACAACTGATTTGGCTTTCTTTGCTACAATTATTTAGGCAGGTGAACATATTTCTCTACAATTCTTTCTTGTACAAAGCATTTTACCACCACCACTACTAGAACAAAGAAATGTCTGGATCATTTGACACTGCAATTCCAATAGATGACAAAGTTGGAAATAAAGAACTGGAAAAAAAGATTAACAAAATACAGAGATCTGGCAATCAAAACACCTCACTTCTGGATAAAACACACTTCAGTGGTTCCCATAGTCATAAAAGCTTTGGGAACAATGCAAAAAAATTTCACACAGTATTGTAAGCAGTTGCAGGTCTCAGGAATAACACCATCAGAGCTACAAAAAACAACAATACATACTGCACCAATATTTAACAGGTTTTTGGTTAAAATGTTTTCATAATTTTGATTGACTGATTCTGGTGGTTTTTAATAATAATGATAATAATGATAATACTGATATGATGATGATGATGATGATGATGATGATGATGATGATGATGATGATGATGATAAAAACAACTGCAGATCAGAAGTGACCCAATGGTCCACAGCTGGATACCTAAACCACTGAGCTTATCCAGCAGTTCATATGCAGCTGTTCTGGGACATGCATTTGCTTGAACAGAGATTGGAGACAAAGATGCTGCCCAAACAATGACAACTTTTCTTTCTTCTTTCCAGAATCAGAAAACTCATTATACTTACACTTGTTTTTGGCCAAACTTTGTTACTGGCTGATCATGCTGGAATGAATCACATTGTTTTCGCATGTCTGGAGACAGGTAAAAGGCATTTTCACCTAAAAAACACATTCAGAATTTTAACTAAACCTTTTCTATCTTGGTTATTTTGAGTTTTTCAGGTTCTTTGGCCGTGTTCCGAAGGTTGTTCTTCCTGATGTTTTGCCAGTCTCTGTGGCCGGCATCTTTAGAGAACTGGAGTAGGAACTCTGTCCATGCTCTTATTTAATAATCTTGATATTAGACATTTATTTATTTGCTTATTTAGAACATTTCTCAGCTATTTCAAAAAATCTCACAGCTAGTTCTTAGTGTAACCAGCCCTGAGATCTTTTGAAACAGGTAAGAAATAAGGTTTGTATGATCAATAAGGTTTGTACAATTTGCACAGCTAATTGCAACTAATTGACAAGATGGTGAAATACATCTTAGTTGCAAAACTGGGTGTATGACTATGATATGATCTGACATCCTATCAATTAGCTGCACTTAGCTGTGACATGCTGCACAGCCTTTATTTTATTATTGTGAAAACACTTTGCTAGAAAAATCTGCTGCAGTTCAAGAACTCAGAAGACAGGTTAACTTCCTGAGATGATTAGCCATCTGCATCCAATGAAATCTAAAGAAGCAAAATGCAGTCTGCAAAAGCTTATGCCAAATAAAATTTGACAGTCTTTAAGATGCCACAAGACAGTTGGTTTTTATGGCATATTCAGTGCTCCCTGCATAGTGTGCTCTACTCAATGCATACTTTGAAATCTTTTTTAAAAAACACATCTTAAGGGAGCAATCCTTCACTGGTAAAACCACTCCTTAAATAGCAAGCTCAATTACCTTGAAAGCCCTATTAAGTTCTCTATGAATTGACACCAGGTAATACAACAACAATAACAACAATATACCAATATTGCAACAGTGGCCCTCCTTATTTTAGTGGCAGCATCCTTCCCCAGCTCTTTCTCAAGGCCCCACATATAGCTTTACTGGCTATACTAAAGGATTCTGGGAATTATAGTCTACGAAAGTACCGTAACCTTTCTGAGACAAGCTTTACTACTGCACCTTCTGCTGTTAACAGCCAGTGTACCCAGGGAAGGGTGACCTGCCAGATGTGACTAATAAGAGAGGAGGGAGGGTCTTGTATACAGTTGAGGTGCGGGAGCACTCAGTACAAAGTGGCAGTTTTGCCACTGGGGGTTCTCACATAATTTTTGTGAGCGCCGTTTCATACCCTCTTCTCTATTAGTGCACAGTGCAAGATTGCTACTAATACGACTAACTGAAAGCGCAGGTACATAAGCATGGCAAATGAAACTAGCAACCCCTTGAACTGAAAAAATTGTGTGTCCTTTCAGTGATTTGAAAGTCCATCCTAAGTAAAAGGAAATGAACTTTACACATTTTAAAATGGTTTAAAGTGAAAGTAAGGTAAAAGTCCTGCTTAATTTCATTGTTTTCAAAGCAATTCTGCCACTGATAAGGACAATTAGTGTAGCTTGTATTTTGAACAAAGCGACTGATACTACATGGCAGAAGTATAACATTCATTGCGTGCCAGTTTTGGCACGAAAGAGTAAACAATGATGGAATGTGAACAAAGAACAAGGGGGGAGTGAGGTGCATTTTAAAATGATGCTTATATTGTGTTTTATCTATAATGATAATTGACAAAGAGATACCACAAAATATATGTGGATAACAATGTTAGGCAAAAGAGAATGAAAGTGTATGGTACAATAGAAACTTTTGCAGAATATTGTAAAACAAAAAAAACTGTTATTTTAAGTTATTTGATTACTGATAAGTAAATAGAGAAAAGAGATGTTACCGTACTTTAAGATGAGGTTTCTGTCATAACTTTCCAGTAAATAGGAGCAAATATATTTTATTTTGTAACACCATCTACTGACATTAATGTGAATTGTTCCATGTTGACTATACCAGTAGGCCTCTGCTCAACTGGCTGGCAGGGGTTGCCTAGTGGACCCCCAGCTGGTCCCTGAGACTGCTATTGAGTCTCATAGTTCTCTGCTACCCCAGTGGGATAAGAATTGTTCAGGTTATGATAAGGCACACACATCGTATAAATACTATATGGGGAAATATCACACACTGTTATGAAGGTGTGTTTGACATCTTATCCAAAGAGGAAGAGTGTGAAATATAGAATGAAATGATGCCGGGAGAAGCAGCAGAAAGATAACAGCATGGCACTAGGAGGTCAAGAATGGACTTTTCCTAAACGTTTAATGAAACCTGGCTAAATTCAGTGAGAACATTCCGTATTGATTTTATGTGTGTTAATACTATTAACAACATGCTTAAATGCATAGAAATGCTTTTCATTTCATTTTTTTTAATTTATAAGAATTCAGATGTTCTTTCATTTATTTTAAAGAAAGGTTTTAAAGCTTTTGGAGTTATATAGCTTTTTATTTATAAATGAAATGTTATAAAGAGGTATTCTCTTTCACACACTTTTAAAATATGTATTTTGAATAAGCTCCTTTTTCATACAAATATGACTAAAGTTCTTGTTTGGTCTTTTTATAGCATATAATTGTGATGTATTTTCCAACTTATTTGTGCAAAATCATATTTCTAAGCATAAGTGCCTATTGTATTTGCATAACTGTAGTGTAATATTTTTAGATCTAAGTATTTGTGCTTGCAGTTTTCATCACAACTGTAGGATTGTCTTTAATATTTTTTGGACTTGCTTTGTTTGAATTATGGAACACTGAATGTAGGGAAATAAAAGGTTTGGAGAATTAACAAGCTTTGGAGTAGCCTGGAATTACTGCAACAAAGGAAATGTTTACAGTTGGATACCCTGATGAGTTTAGAAATGCTTGTCAATGATTGTCTGCTTTTATTCTGAGATTAACCCTTTACTCGGATAATATCAGCTATGATGAACCATAGGTTTATGTTCATTTCCTAGGAGGTCTATAAATCTTTGTAGGACTCATAGAGGAATCAGGCATCCTTATCAAGATCTGGCAGAAATACCTGTTCATTCTCTTATTTTATTTATTAAGCTGTGGTGGTTGTTCATGGTGCTATGGAAATATTTTCACTCTTTGTCCTGTACATGCAATGTGTTCTTCTTCCCCCCTCTAGCTGCAAAGGTGTCACACAGCATGTAATCTGTAAAGAACGATGGATGTAGAGAGACCTGACTATTTATTTATTCTATTTGTACCCCACCTATCTGGTCAATACGACCACTCTAGGCGGCTATATGCGGTAGTGTGATTTTGGTTCTCTTTGATTATGGTGAAAATCTTCCTCATAGGATCATAGGACTTTGTCTTATATCAAGTCCATTTAGCTCAGAACACTGTATGCTGACTGTATGGGACTTCCAAAATTGGAAATGGTGTATGCACAGCAGGGTGCTTCAAGGCTTAACAGTGTAATCTTCACATTCTTGGATAGCTACGTTAAATTCTCCCATCTTTAGAATGTACTACATATCAGATTATGGGGAAGAAAGCACCTCCCAAATATGGGAGAAGCAGAGAAATGAGCAGTTGTAGGCTGCATTTTGAGTAGATCAGCGAGATGAGAGAGAAATTTTTATTTGGCCTAGACTAAAGCATGTGATCTGGTGGTATATTTATACTAGAAAAAAAAATAATAAATATTAAAAAGAATGCACCAATCTCCAATGTTCTCTCCTCCAAAGGAAACAAAACACTTGTCAATGCTCAGGTAACAATGTTGATCCAAAAGAACTTTTTATCATACAACTGGAACAGAGACCACTATTTTTGTTTCTGCTCACAATCCAGCTATAAAATGGAAGTTTTGCTTTTTCCTGCATCCCTATTGAGATATGCGTATCAGCCATTATCATACCATCCATTACTGTGCCACATCATATACTTACTGCTGATAAATGATGGCAAGAGGTTTCCAAAGCGTAGCAAAGGCTCTTCGTGGAGCTCAGATGGCTTATCAACATATTTGAAGAAGACATCATTAGGCTCACTTGCCAAACTGTAGATATTCTTGATATTCACTTTTCTGCCAATGGCCAATATGACAAAAAAGTATCCTTTACATTTAGCTTCTGTAATAACTTTCTGAAGGTGTTCAAGTTCTCTATTCTTAACTTCTCCTGTCATCATCAAGACAATGACTTTGAGATCTCTGGCATTTGGTGAACTCTCAAAAATGTCTCTTACTGTATACTCTATTGCGCTTGCCATAGCCCGTGTACCATGAAGCTGTGTCATCCCATCCTTAATGAAATCCATCAGCTTGTCTTTGGAGCTGTAATCTGTCAGTGACAACTCGAGTCTAACAGGAGAGGTACTTGAATTTGACTCAAAGTCATAGGGAGCATGCTGAACTATGGCTACCCGGGCATGGTGCTGAGATACCTTGGGGTTAGAGCTAATTTCCAGCTGGTTTACAATATAAGAAATGTAGTTCTTCATGTCTCTGAATTGCAGGTGATCAGTGGTCTCAGAGCTATCCAAAATGAAAGCTATATCAATGTCAACATCCGTAATGGCTGCCCGTTTGGTCCTTGGAGCACCACAGATAGGGTCAGGGTCACACACATCTAGAGGAATAAATATATCATAGTTGAAGTTATCTAAAGATCTACAACAATCATTCTTTGGCAGTACATGACCAAGAAGTTGTTAAGAAGCAATGCAACAGCAATCACTGTTATCTGACAGCTCACAAATAATTCTGAGAAGCTGATAAACTCTGAGAATTAAAAACACAAAACAAATTTCAAGTTTGCATGCTTTTAAAATTCTCTGAAAATATCAGCACTGTCTAGACCAGTGGTTCTTAACCTTTGTTACTCAGGTGTTTTTGAACTGCAACTCCCAGAAACCCCAGCCAGCAGAGCTGATGGTGAACGCTTCTGGGAGTTGCAGTCCAAAAACATTGGAGCAACAAAGGTTAAGAACCAGTGGTCTAGACCATATAAAGATTAACAACTAATAGATACAGTGGCACATCTGGTCTGATTTGCACTGGACATGTACACATAGCTGGATATATACTGGTGAGTGAGTCCAATTTTATTGCTAAAATTTCCATCTGGATTTGTCAGTCTCTGTAGGAGCCTCTGGAATGTGCATTGCATTTCAGAAGGGTAAAGAGAAAAGGAAGTCACTATTGTGAGGAGACTTTATAAGTCACTTATCTAGTTGCTGAAGAACATCAGAACAAAACGTTAGCTCTGCAAAATAAGATGTCTCCCCAAATAGGAGAGCCACAAACTAAAAGTGCTCCCTCAGTTAGCCAAAACAATATAATCTTCAGACTATCAATGCAAAATAAGAAATTGCTGACATTCTAATTAACACAAAGCCCTAACATCTCTGACCTGTTCAGAGACCAAGAGGTGCTGCTGTTCATAGGAATTAAGGGTTCCAGTATCATCTCAAGCCTAAAACAGAGGGCATTGCATTGGCACTGGACCCTTAACCCAGTTCTTCCATGATGCCACATTTCTGGAAAAATAACATGTGGTAAGATGGTAAGGCTTAAAGAAAGGCCAGCCAAGATGCCTTCATAAGGGGCTCTTTTCCTTAAAGGGCAACAGTTTTTGTAATCTGTATCTAAAGTCAGCATACACAACTGGCTATAAAGATGGCTTTTCAAAGTATGAAAGTAGATAACAAAGGATTTTTTAAAAAAAGAATACATTACCTAAACAAATATGGCACATCAGTACTCTTCTAATAGTTTCAGCCTGTTGTTGTGCACCACCAGCAAATGTGACAGCCTGGCCACCTACAGTGTTGTTGATCTGTTTTCGACCAATCCAGAAAGATTTAATTATTTATCAGAGAAAGTAACTCATGAATCACTAAGGCTAAAATATCTGGGGTGAAAGTATTGTGCTGCTTATGTTTGTGGGACATGCCTCTACAAGAAATAGCTGAGAGATCAAGAAACTAAACTATCATTTTTCACCACCCCCTTTCATTGCCGGTAATGTCTTAGATCAAGTGGAACAGACACCATTTTACTTCTCCCAGTGGAACAGACACCAATAAAGAACTGCCTTCTCTCTCACTCTCAGGCTGCCAATCCCTCCACATCCCACCAAATCTGCTTCAAAGGTCTGGGGAACAAACTGCAGTAGGGAGAAGGAGGGGAAATCTCCTTTAGTGCAAGATAAAGGGATTGCACCAAGCTTCCCCTGTGGAAAGTCAGATTTATTTAGTACAATCTACATCTTTTTCATTGTAAAGAAGACTTAAAATATGTGTCCTTTCTTTCATTTTGTAAAACACACACACATACAGAGAGAGCTTGTACTGTGAGGAAAGAGATGAAATTATGAAAAGGATAGGAGAGAATGAAAAAAAATGCTACAACTGCCCATACATTGCAGTAATTATCTAAATATAGTGACAGCAAATAAAATTCATAAAAGTAAAGTAGTGATGCTGGTATAATTCAGTGAGTTTCAATCACTGAAGGCTTGTACAACAAAAATAATCAGGCTGCTTTCTCCAATGCTTGCCTGCCACACATGGCTTACATTTAATTGCTCATAATGACTGGTAATGAGGCAACACATGTTGTTAATGGATGCTTTGTCTTTGGTCAGTGGAACTGCTTACACTACAAAGGAAATCAAACCTGCTTGTGTTTGTATATGTGTCTGCATGGATGTGCATGTGTACGTACATGCACACATGCTGAGAGATACCAATTTCTGCCAACCTGTCCACCTTTCTTGCTATCTCTGCACATTGTCTTAAAATCTTTAATTCTTAAGAATGGCTTTTCAATAAGCAAAAGAGTTCTAGGGTAAGAGAGAAAGATGGGTGGGAAATTTTGTGAACTCTTCTTTGGAAGTAGGCTGTTATTTGGAACCTCCCCCTTAAGGGGAAAACACACACACATATATTAAAGCACACCACAGTGCTTTAAAGCTGCAGTGCCTTTCTGACAGAAGAATTTGATTGTTGCAGATACTCTCTTTGGCTTCTTCACAATTTCTTCTTATGAGGAAGCAACTTTACGATCTCCTCATCAAACTTATGGACAAGACTTGCTCACTAGGATGTTTTGGATTTCAGCTTTTAGAAGCCCTTACCAACATGGTCAATGGTCACGAAAATTGGGAGCTTATTCTGGAAGGAAACAGTTAGGGAGAGCTACAATGTACTCTAAGATTCTGTCTGGTCACCATCATAAAACTGCCATGCTAGCGTGGCTTACTTATTTATCTGTCTCCATGCAGATGAGGAAGTGACTTTTGAAAAGGAGCAGAGAGTGAAAAAGTAAATACAGGAAGAAGAGTAACAACTATTGTTGAAGAATATTAGAGGACAGTAGTCCCTGACTTATTCTAATACATAACCCAAACAATAAAATAAAATAAACCGGAATGATGCAAACCTGCAGTGCATTTATGAGAGCCCTGTCCTCTCTGCTTGTAAGGAACACAGGCACAACCCCTGCATCGTAAAGTTTTAGTACAGCCTCGTTTAGTTGTGGAGATGCTCTTGTTGGTCCATTACTGAAGAAAACAGCCACCTTCCTCATGAGGAACCCACTGCGTGCACGTTTGAAGGTATTCCTGGCCACAAAGGACATGGCTGTATCTAAGCTCCTCTGTTTTGATGTCTGTGCAATTTGGAGGTCCTGAATCTGTTTCACAAGATGTTTCTTTCTTCGGGAATCAGCAAAACGGATCTCAGTTGTGACTTCACTGTTATATGTAACTAGAGCAACTCGGGCACCCCTTGGGCAGTTGCTCTCAGCAATTGTGAGATTATTAACAATGTTCAGAACTGCTTGTTTCATTCTGTTGAAAGCCTCCGAACTTCCACCAGCAGCAGTATCTAGAGCGAAGGCCAGTTCTGTCGGGTAAACTGGGCATTCTCTTGGACCTGTAGATAGTAGGCATATTAAAAAGGAAGAAATGTTGTTACATGTAATTGTTTCTAAAATATCAAGGGCTAGATTCTATATGCAGCTTACACCAGTGAAGGTACTGCTTACATTGGAACCTTAATAATTTAAAATTAACTTACCATAACAGCAAGCTGGGATGGGGGGAGAAAAATGAAATAAAATCTGTTATTTCACATACTATGCCAAAACAAACTGCATAAATATTAGACACAAAAAAACCCAAAGCAAATCAGAAATAAAAACACAGAGACTTACGGCATTTATCTTTGATGTTGCGCACAAGTGCACATTGCTTTAAAGAGAAAGGAAGAAAAGGCAATTAAAAAAGATTTTTGGCACAAAGAAATTCAATTAATGACTGATAAACATAAACAACTAGTCAACTTACATCTCTGGATTCTCCTTTGTTACCCTTCAATCCCTGGAAAAAAAGTATTTTAAAACATAAATGTAATTATAGGACATATGTATAAGAGTGCATGCTATCTCCTTCATGGAAAAGACAGGCCAGAAGGGGATATCCTCCCAGGTGGTCACTCCAATGGAGGCCAGAAAACCATCAGTGAGAAGCTGGGCCTACTCAGCAGTGGCACCAATGCTCTAGAATTGGCTCCCAGGTGAGCTGTGCCTGGCGCCTTCCCTCCGTAGTTTTAAGAAGGCATTGCTGAAGGCATTGCTTTTCCAAGAAGCCTTCGATAACAACCTCATCGGAATTTTTAGCCTCGTGCCCTGCTGCTCATATGGAAATGTTGTGCTGTTGTGATTTAACTTACTTAATTCTGTTTGTTAATTTTATGATTTCATACTGTATTGTTTCATTTTGTTCTTGTTATGTCTTTTGGATTTTACCACTGTGTTCACCCAGAATAGTGTCGTGCACTAATGGTGTAGTGTATAAAAGAAATCAGTCAATCAATCAATCAATTTTTATTTATTGAGATACTTCATCAAGCTTCAGTCAGCTGCAGATAGCATGTTATACCATTTCATGTAATGATTACAGACAGTTATGTGCTATTCCCTACAGGTGGTAGGCCAGGTTGTTGTTTACAACTTTAAAAATTAATATATGGCAGATTAGTACTCTAACCAAGAAGCACATTAAAAATATTTTCAAATAATAAAATATAGAAAAGTGGAACAAGTGTGGCAGGGAGATCTATGCCACATGCAAACCCTGAAAACAGAAATTTCTGCCTTGAAATTCAGAATTTGAATCCAGACATTTAAAACTGAGAATCTAAAATTGTATTTACTTCTAGTTTTGTTTGAAATCAGGGCAGTAATTATTTACTGCATGTTTTATTGAGAGATACATAAAAAGCGCATATTCAGTATCAGCTAGCAAGCTCACTTTCTTACAGTGGTTTCCCCAAAAATAAGCCCTACCCTGAAAATAAGCCCTAGTTAAGTGAAACCCTGCCTTCCACCAGGGACTCACTGGGATCCTCCAAGCCCTCGAGAGAGACCTAAAACTTCTCCCACTTCCCTCACTCGCGGAGGGGCTGGGCGGCCAGGGAGGAAGGAGCTGCCCACCACCAGGAACTTGCTCCTTGGCTCCTAAGTCCCCAACGACTCTTGGGGCTCGTGCCTCTACGGTGTGCGCACTTCTCCCCCCTCCAGCATGCGCCCAGGTGAGGCTAACAAAGCACAAGGTTGGAGGGGGGAAGCAATTTTGGAGCTCTGGCTCCCTCCAGCCAGCCAGCCCCCGCCCTGCCTACTGTAACTCTTTTAACCCTCCTCTAGTTCGGCTCCCTTTTCGGTGCTGCTGGCAGGGCCACTGCCGTGTTGAAGCCACCGCCACCACCCTCTCCTCAACTGGGCTCGCTGGCTTCAGGACCCCACCCCCTTCCACACCACGCCGCCCCCTCCACTGCTGCCGTCATTTCCCACAAAAC